TATATATATATATATATATATATATTACCACATTTTTACAAAAAAAGTTGCTAAAATAGAAAAAAAAATCCTATTTAAAAACTCAAAACTCTTGTAGTACTATATAAGTGTATATGAGTACTTTCAAGCCTTTTTTAAATATGATTAAAAAAAATAAAAGAACTTTCATGTGCATGCATCTTTTTTTTTTAAATTGGCATTTAAAATAAAACATTCAACAACGATTTTTATCTAATAACCACACATTTTCATGAAATACAATAATTAAATGTGAAAGTTTATTTTATCATCACATTTTTTTTAGTTTTAATCAGATATGATTGAAATTATTTGTGACTATTGATTATAGTCTCTTAAAAATTAAAAGTCAATGAATAATGTTTAAACATTGTTGTCACACCTACAAACTTTGTGCAAGAGAATCATGTCATGAAATTTCTTAAGCCAATACATTTTTGTTATCATCTTGATTTGATAATCATAAGTGTGATATTGGCAGATCATTTTTTTTGTGCATGAACAAAAATGTTCATAAAATGACATAAAATAAAGATTGTGTGTGAAGTATTTATTGCATGTAGCTAATATTAAAGCATTGACCTCTTCTAATGTTTGAAACTTATACATGAATCCCAACAAAGACTAACTACTTAACAAGCCTAATTTTTTTTTATTTGTGACAAAACAATCAAGTGCAATGCTCTTCTTCCAAATAAATATGCAGTTAAATTACTATTTTTTCATTTTTTATTATATATTTATTTTACATTAAATTTATGAAACATAGGTTTGCATCTAAAATGTTTCAAGTCACTATTTAATTCAAATAAACAAAAACAAAAATTTAAAGTATAGAATCAGTTAAAAATTTCTTTATTTTACTTTATAATATTAATTTAAATTAAATAAAAAATTTCTCTCTCCATCATATATATATATATACATACATATGTAGACACACACATATACCAATGCATGGAAAATCACTATAAGTGAATAAAATATAAAATAAAAGCTTAAAAATCGATTTTTCCTTAAGATTAAAAAAAAAAAAAAAGAAGGAATAATTATTACACAATGAATGTGATGAGAAAGCCCAAATACCAAAATCCAAATCCTTCCCATAAAATAAGTTTTCATGTTTGGTTTCTTTGGTGCAACACGCATGAGATATGACTCAGCATTGACTGCATGTAAAACAGTACAATCTCACTGAAATTTGACAATGTCATTGACCGCCTACACGCACTCTAACCTAAACTAGCTCCTCTTTCTAATATAATTTCATTTTCATGAAAATGAGTACCCATAAACCATGCCAATTTTTCTTTCAAGTTAAAGCATTTTCTGATGAATTGTCATATCAATGAGCCAAAGTGCACAAAAATCCAAACAGCAAGGAAAAAAAAAATTACAAAAATATCCAAACACCCTGTCATGTAAAATGACATGGGAGACTTTTAATCATGCAGCTCTTTAAAGGCTTCTGCAACCCAAAAATGTTTAAAGAATGGAGAGGTTAATGCCAAACACAACTCTGTTTGATTTGATAATCTATGATTTTGACGTATAAGGGTGTAATTAAATATGTTAATTAAACAGTAATTATATTAAATATTTGAATCACTAAATAAATTTTTATGGCCATGATGGCAACCTCTTGTTTTTCATGATCCATTATTTTGTATATAATTAGGTTAATGATTGCTCTTGTTGCGTGAAAAGCTGTCAGATTTCAGTGAGATTGTACTGTTTTATTATTTAGTTGCTGCTGAAGTAAACCATGATTAGTGCTGATTTCAAACTTATCTCATCAATTAGTAAGATCTAATACTGATTATCTTTGTTGAGTCTACAGATGAAGAACAGTAAACAATGGAGATTAGGTCAAGCTAATTAGGCCCCTTGGAAGAATAACCCAATAGTAATTTAGACCACAGAACTTGAGTTTTATAAATATGAGTAAGTTTTGTATCTTGAAAGAAGAAGAAGAAAAGAGTAGAATAAAAATGATTTTTTTTTTTAATTTTTTTCTTTAGCAATCTTCTTCTTATAGTAGTATTTATTTTCCAACAAAGTTGATATGAAGTGATGATAATACGGGTTATAAGTCTGCAATGCCTGGCTCTAAGGCAAGATAGGGCAGAACTAAGCTGAGCCATGCACTGAAAAGATAGAAGTAAAAATTCAAAAACTTACAAAGAAAAGACAAACCAAAACCCAAGAAGCAATGAAGCATACATCACACCACATTAAAAATACTGCAACAGAACAGAACCAAAGCGAAAGGTTGCGCTCAAGTCAAGGTGAGTGCGGACGGCCTTTTTGGCCTTATCTGATGCCAAATTTTATCGCAAGCTCAGTCCTTTTTTTAAATTTCTTTATTATTATCATTATTATTATTATATATAAATATATATTTTCTTCCAAGAAAAAGTGAAGTCACGTTGAAAAGAACTTATTGAATGCTATATGAAGAACTTGTTTGATCTTCTCTCTATCAGCAGCTACTCTTACTTTCACATTTCTATCACTTTTGCTTTTTTGAACAAACCGAGTTAAAGAGAAGGTTTAACGTAGCTAATAATCATGCCATGCAACATGAACAGAGATTATAAAGTGTATAGATAAATATATATATATATGTATATATACCTTGATGAATTTGTCCATTTTGAAGCAGAGTCAGTGTCATGAGCTCCTCTGTTGTCCAACAGCCGTCGAAAGTTGGGATCTTCATCTCCAGAGCCGTCTGATTGGCCTTCATTGATTAAGGGGTGATGATTGAGAAATGATTATAAATTGATTATTAGGGAAAATGATTTTATGTAATGGTACCTGAGGAAGCTGCAGCCTTGTCAGTGGTCTTCACAGTTCTATACATCTAGTGGTAAAAGAAAGGAGCAGAGGGGATGACATTAAAGAGAGAAAGAGAGGAGAAATAGAAATCAAATGGAAGTGTGATTGCTGATTAGTACAAACAAAAGAAAGAATCTGAAAAGAAGGAGAAACTCCTCCTCCAATATTTTCCTTTTATGCCCGTTTTCCTCGCTGAAACACCCCCCCGTTGTTCACGAGGTTGACTCTTTTTCTTGTCATTTTATTTGTTTTGACTCTATTATTGCCAAATGATACTTTCTCTCTTCTCTCTCTCTCTCTCTCTCTCTCTCTCTCGTTTCATGTCGTTGTCCATCTGCATTCATTCAGTCAGTTATTCACTCGATCTGCAACGCTTTGCATTAAATGGGGAACAAGAAGTCATTTTTATCATTAATGCGGTATTAGGGGGAAAAAATGAAGATTTGTGTGAAAGTTTCAGTTTTTAGTTTAGCTAAGAAATTTGTAAATAATATTAATATTTTTTTTCTGTGTGAGGAATGACAGTAATTAATTCATGTTTCTCAATGTTTTTGAAGAACTATGGCATGAGTAATAGATTAATATAACTTGTATTAGCAATAGAATAATATTTATTTTGCATTTCAGAGTTCATAATAAGCTGTTCTGATATCATCAAGCTTTAAAGAGATTCTGCAAATTCTCACAAGATTTATGCAGGTTTCAGTGTAAGAAAAGAGCAGCAATAATTTTTTAAAAAATAAAAAATTTAAAAGCATGGAAAGATTAGATGGCGAGAAAGAAGAAGCAAACACCTGTAAATGGCTCTTCACATGCGCTAGAGTGAGATCCTTCACATCCATAAGCTCAAGAACTGACTTTGGTGTAGCTCCTAAAAATTAAAAAGAAAAAAAAAAAAGTCTGAGAAACAATCAAGCTAATAAAGTATTTTCAAACAGAATCTGTATGATTGGAGCATACTCTCATGGCCGCCGAGGAGCTCGACAGCATGAACAAACCGAGCATGGAGTGTGCTCGTCCACCTCATCCTCGGAGCCCTCATGCTTCTCTTCGTCGTGATCTTCGACATGAGCCGAGATCTCATCAAGCTACCTGGCGCCTCAAATCCACCGAACCCAAATTGTTGTTGTTGTTGTTGATGATGATGGTGATGATGAAATAGTTGATGATAATCATAGCTCTGGTTATAAAACTTAGCCGAATTTGCAGGCATCGAGTTGAACCTTCCCAATGGCCCCCCGACAAAACCATGAGGGTAAGGTGCACCAGGTGGCGGCGGCCCCGCCGCCCCCCCCCCCCCCTACCGTACTCAAGAATCCTGGCGGCATTTCGATGGCCGCCGGCCAACTGGAATGATAAGAAGAAGGCATCTGTGTGAGAAAATTAAAGGGGTGGTTATTGCTGCTGTTGTTGCTGTTGTAAATTGGTATCCCTTTTATCGGCCTCGTGCCGTCATCGGGGGAAAGGTCTCGACTTTGCCTTCTCCACAGCCTCGACGGCGGGCTTGCGAGGGAAAGCTCGGTGTGGGCATCGGCGACACCCGTGCCTGCGTCGCGAAGGGAGGGGTTGCTGTTAGGGAGACTAATGTGGAGAGAAAGATCAGGTGGTGAAGAAGCCATTGAGCTGGCTTCCATGAAGGCTCTTTGAACTTGCATTATATGTTTGAGCTAAAGATGGCGACTTTACTTCAGAAATGGGTGGAAGAACTGAACTTCTTCTTCTTCATCCTGTTCAGTTTTAGAGTTGGGTTTGGATTAAGCAGAGAGAAAGGTTGCAGGAAATGGGAAAGGGGTGGAGGGGGATGGAATGGAGAACCAAAAGGTTTATTTGCATCAAAGACAAAAGGCATGGAAGGATTTATGCTTGTGTTGGTAGTGTAGTGATCTACTAGTTTAATTTCTGCTGATAATTACCTTTTTTTTTCCATCTGTGTATAATAAATATAATGAGGGAGGAGTCATTGAGGCTAAGAGGATGTGGAGCATGGAGAGCAAGAGGAGTGCAGAATAAAAGTAAGCGATCTGCAGTATATTATTTTAATCCTTGAGATATATATCAGGAAGGAGAGAGAAAGTACTGGTCAAGAGTCAAGAGATCAAGAGGAGTTCTTAGACTAGCCTTTTAGAATTACATATAAATTTTTTATATGAAAATGGATAATATTGGATGCATCATGCATGGCTCATTTCATCACATCTTTTATATATATACATATATATAAATATATATCAATACTAAAATGTGTAAAATATATTAATTTTATGAATATAAGTGTACATCGTAAATGTGCCAGTGCTGATCCTGAGGAGATATGATGTTTAGAAGAAGGAAATGAGGGCCCACGGGCCATAGATAGAAGACCAATAGACTTGTTTATCTTATTGAGTGCAGGGGTCCGAGCCAAAACAAATAATGTCAAAGACAACCAAGCCATGAAAGATGATTAAATGATCCGAATCCGAGTCGTTGGTGAGATAGGAGCTAGACAAAGAAGCATCTTAGCCAACCAACATGAAGAAGACGACTCAAGACAATTAGTTACAAGACAAAGAAGCATCTTAGCCAACCAACATGTAGAAGACGACTCAAGACAATTAATTACAAACAATTAAGTTTTCTTTTGGTGTTTTATAGCTTATTTTAATATGCATAAAAAAAATTAATGAAAGATGTAAAGAAAGAATGAGCTTTAGCTTAAATGTTATGTTTTTGGCTTTCTTGTTGAAAGCTGACAAGTTGAAGTCGGTAATGATATTCTTTAAGCTAAAAGGTTTGTTTGGTTTGTAGAAAAAAAAAAAAAAAAGATGAACAATAAATATAATAAAAAGATGAACAGTGAAGTTAATAAATTATATTTGTATGATTTTTAGAATTCTATATTTTTTTATTTGATTTGATGAAAAATACAATCATCGTAAAATATGTGGTCCTTAGACAGCCACGACAACTTGCAAGCGACTAGTGGTGGTTGGTCACTACTAAAGACAACATTCAGCGGCATGGAACAATTTACAAAGAGCACTTTTTTTGCAATTCCCCCAAAAAAAAAAAAAAAACTCAAAATACCATGAAAATGAACTAAAGAATTACTCTCCATTTGGAATTCATCCAATCAAACTCCTGAATTTCTTAACTCCCCCAAAAGGAAAAAACAATGGACTGCTTTTGTAGCAAACCAAATAGGCCTAACATATATTAATCATGTTCTATAAATAGTCAGAGTAATGTTTTTTTTTATAAAATTTTTGTAATTGATCTCGTGATAGTTTATTAATTAATAAAACATTTGTGATAGATTTCTCATCTTAAAATGCCCGTCGTAGTTATTTGTTTATAATGCACAATTTGATCTACAAAATATTCGTAACTATTCTATATTTGGTTGAAAAAACTATGCCATGACTTAAATTTTGAAAAAAAATCTTATATATAGAGTCCGGACTCTATATACAATATCATTATACAATTTGTACACAAATGTGCACAACATGTACAATACTGTTGTACACGAAGTCCGCATATATCCGCGCAATCCATATGTAATATCATCTCCCAAAATTTGAAGAGAGAGAGAGATAGAGAGAGAGAGAGAGAGAGGGAGAGGGAGAGGGAGAGAGAGGTGTATAAAATGAGAAGAAAAGGAGGGGAGAGAAAGTCCCGTGTGGGTGGGTGGGGTTTTACTTTCCTTTAGAATCTTAGAACTTTTGAAGGGGAAGCTGAGGGAGAAAGAATGAAGTGGGAATTCCAATCAATCTCTTTCTCAAATAAATCAGTAGGTCAGGTGGGGTTGCCTCTTTTCAATTTCTTTTAAGTACATCTAGAGAGATAAAGTGGGATTTTTTTATATTATAGAAAATAATCAGCATCAATATTTAGAAGATAAAAATAAATCAATTATATTTTTATATAATTTTTGAAAAACAAGCAAAAAAATGATGTTGTCATACTCTGTTAGTGTAATAATGATATTTGTGCTGAAACTGTTCTTGTAAAATACATGGTCATTTTATTAGTCCTTTTTTTTTCAAAGATTTACATTACATTTCACTCAATTCTTAAATATTTACACTTCTTACACCGAAACTTTAAGTTTTTTTTACATTCATACCGCCATTTCACTCAATTCTTAAATATTTACACTTCTTACCGCATTACTTTAAGTTTTTTTTACATTCATACCGCATTACCTGTGCATGCAAGGTTGTATTTGACTATTCATAAGTTACAATAGTGGTATTATTCATGTGATATGAGTGTTCATGGTGCGATAAATGTAAGAAGTAAAATATAGTTAGTTGATATGTAAGTAAATAAGAATTGGGTGGAATGCATGTAAATGCCCCCTTTTTTTATAATGGTACTGACTTTAGGAACAATTAACATGATAGAAATGCTAAAAGTTTGACTTAAGAGCATCAATTTTTGACAAGATTTGTTTTTTTTGAAATAGTCTTTGATACTTAATACAGTTTTTGACATTTAAGCTCAAATATGTTGAATTGTAATATTATGTTTGTAGGCCCAAATTTTTAGTTCATGCCCAACAAAAGTGATATTTATATTCATACCCAGTGTTCACAAATAATCGCTTGATAAATTTGAATTAAAAAATGATACCATTTTTCAATGATGACTACATTTAAATAGCAATAAAATGACACAAATTTTAATTTGGTACTCCCTAAACCTTGTTATTGGAGCCACCAATACCTCACTAAATGAGATTTATCATCGGATAATGAGCTTTAGATAAGATAAAACATGCATTGAGCAACCCTATGATGAGTGAATTAGTTTTTAATTAGTAGTAGCTAATCAAGTTTCTTGGGCCAATCAAATTGACCAATTGAAAATTAATCCATAATCTAATTGTACAAACCTTCCCACCTTTACTTCTAATTCTCTTTTCATTCTCCCAAATATTCTCACTAGCTAGCTAGGCATTGCACCATGTTTGTTGTCTTGCCTTAATTAATGCGCTAACCTAAGCCCATATGTCATCTTCTTCATGCATTGGTTGACTCCATGAAATTGTTTACGAAGTTCTAAGCTCCACGGAGACAATGGGGGCATATTATAACGTGGTATTTCTTCTCGGAAGGTACGATTAGCTGTTAATGACAACTTTCTTAGCTAATTAAAATTTTCAGCTTTGAGATATGACTGAAAAGTACTTAAATTTCACCGCTCCTCCCTATATAATTAAGGAGTCGGGAACCAAAGCTTAAACAATTAAAGCCAAACATTAATTATTACAAGAGCATCACTGATATTTATTAAAATGAAAACTCGTCAACACATGCCATATATATAAATATATATAGATATATAATATGACTACACTGATCCTAAAGAGATCTCACGGTCTAGAGGAGACTAGAACGATAAAGGAAGTTCCACCAGCAGGCTCAAAGGCTCGTAAAGCTAACCAGATTCAAACGAACCAAGGCTCATAAGGCTGACCATATACATTCATACGAAACCAACCCGATACATTCATCTGAACTAAGGCACACAAAGCCGACTGAATACATTCATATGAACCATGACCTACAAAACCAACTAGATATGTCTCACTTGTAACATACTAAGAATATCTTTTAACGCTCTCATTAAAATAATATGAAAAAATGTAATATCATAAGATCGTAATCAATTCCCTATAAATAAGGAGATCATTTCATATACAAAGGGAGGGAAAAAGTTTTGATAAAATAAAAAAGGCCCACAAGAGACCCGAGAAAGTCCCTTTAGCCCCCCGAAAGAGAAAATCACCGTGTAATCCTCCATCTATTTCTCTCATTCTCTCCCATCTTATGTTCTATTCCCTGAGTAAAAAAAGAAAAGAAATATTAAAAATGATTCTAAAATAAGAAAAAAGAGAAAAAGAAAAAGAAAAAGCAAAAAGAAATAAAAAGTGATGAGAAGCTTGAGGAGAAGGCTGATCAAAAATTTGTTTCACTTGAATATTTTTAAATGAAAAAAACTTAGAAACAATCCTAAGCTTATTCTTATTTTAAATAAATATTGGTCAATTTGGTATAAATACGATGCTTAAATTCTCTTTTTAAACTTTCTAAAAATCTTTTGTTTGACAAGTTTCATTAACTTTTGAAGTAAATAGAAAACTAAGATTCCTAAGTTGAATATGATATATTCTATTACTAGGATGATTTGCTAAAATTTCACCTAAGTTACACTATAACATTTCTCAGACAAAATTATAGGCAACTCTACTGAAACCCACTACCTCAAATCAACAATCTCAATTTTTAAAGTTGTTGTGTTACTTGAGGATAAGAAACATTTAAGTTTGGGGTTTTGCATGCCTAAAAATTACCTGCTTTTTATATATATTTGATGCTCATTTTTAATGATATTGCACTTTAAAGGAAGATATTTTGTATATTTTTTGTTCAGGTACAAGAGTTGGAGTTTTGACGAAAATTGAGCAAAAATAATGCAATATGGAGTAAAATTGAGGAAAGAAGAAAATTCTGACATGACGTATTTTGATATGTCTTTTTTTGCTTGATATCCTTTACAGTTATCACATATTTTTGAATGAAATTACAATTTAAAGAAATGTTATTTTCATGTTTATCTTGTAGGTATAACACTTGGAGCGGCTTGGAGCTGAAACAAGAAGAAATGTCGTGAAACGGGAATGCTGCCACCAGGTTAGCGTCTAGGCGCCAGGCTCCAGAAAAAGTTATGGATGAGTTTTAGACGCACCAAGGAGTTGTTAAGCACCTTTTGACATATGGAAATGCACCTTTTGACATTTCAAACTCTTCAAACTCTCAAGAACCTCCAGAGGTCATATATAGGATAATATATGTAGATTTTTACCCTTTCTAGAGAGATTAGTGAGAGATTTTGAGAGATATTTGAATGGAATTGTAGGAACTTTGCGTGGATAAACATGAGACTTTGTTGGAGGAATCTTCATCTTTCTTTTAAAGGAAAAAACTAAATATTGTATTCTTCATTATCTTATAATTATTGTAA